CGGCCCGCCGTCCCCCCCTCTTTTCGCTCACTCCGTGCCTGCCGTTCTGGTCGTCACGCCCCTACTCTCCCCCCCGTAACCCGCAGATGCTTGCGCTTTTGCGCTTGCCCCGTCCTCCCCTTGCCCGGTCTTCCCGCGTGCCGCCTTCACCTTTGCGGCCCCCGCCCGCCCGCCTGGCCGCTCTCCCAGCTACTGTGCCGGGGTGGGTGGGCCCGCTTTCTGGTGGTGGTGGTGTGCGGGTCCTCGACCTGCCCCTCCCCCCCACTGGTATGCTTGCCGCCCTTGGGCTGGCCATCAGGCGCCCCTCGCCTCCCTCCCCGCCCTTTGCGCCCGACCGCTCCCTGAGCCCGCCCTTTGCCGCCCGGGCGGTATTGCATGCTTTCATACAGTCCAGAGCTAGTGGGCACGGCTTGTGTGCCCCCAGCCCATTAATGGGCATTGCCTCTGTAACATCACAGATCACAGATCGGCTTTGTGCCACCGTCGTTGGCCGCGACGTTAAATAAGGAGCTGGATGAGTGCCGGTGGGTGATACCACAGGCACGAGTTCGAACCCCAGCCGGGACACTAGCTGGGACTTTGCCTCACGGCACCTTCGTGGCGGCATCTGGGCGGCGGACGGCTGCCCGGCAGACCGGCATGGCGCTTGCAAGACGGAGCCTCCCCGGGATGCCATCGGCGGCCAGATTTTCCTCGCTCTGGACAGCCGGCAGGGTTAGCGGGTTCGGCCCCAGCACATTAATGTGCCCAATCCCTGTAACACACACACACACACGGCTTTGCCTGTAACACACACACACACACACACACGGCTTTGCCTCACGGCACCTTCGTGGCGGCATCTGGGCGGCGGACGGCTGCCCGGCAGACCGGCATGGCGCTTGCAAGACGGAGCCTCCCCGGGATGCCATCGGCGGCCAGATTTTCCTCGCTCTGGACAGCCGGCAGGGTTAGCGGGTTCGGCCCCAGCACATTAATGTGCCCAGTCCCTGTAAAACACACACACACACACTTTTTTGTGTCGAATTTCCCGGAAGCCGCCGCCGCGGCCAGCAACCCCTCCCGCGACCCCCATGGGGTCTTACGCAGCGGTATTGATCCGCCCTAGGCCCCCTGGCCCTGCTTTGGGGCCTCGGCCTCAGGCGCGCGCTGGGGGCTCCCCTCGTGCCCAGCGGGCCCCCTGGGGTCCGGCTGCTCGTGCGGCCGGGCCCCCAGGCCCACCCAAAGTCCGCCACACTATCGCCATCTCCAAAGTGCCCGAGTTCGCTCGCGTCACTCTCCGCGCCCAGCTGCCGCCTGGTATGAGCATTGAGGAGGCCAAGCGGCTGGTGCTGCTGGCTGGGCCCGCCCTGGTGCTGTCCCGCCTGGAGCGCGGCCCGGATGCCAGTGGCCCCTCCTCCCCTGAGCCCGTCGTCTCCCAGCCCTACCCTTTGATGGCCAGCCGGCTCGGCGACCGCGTCCCTGTGGCGGTGGGGCTCACCTTCACCATGCGGCCGCCGCTCCGCGACGCGCTGCTTGCTGGTGGCAACCCCTTGCGCCCTACCAGCGTGCGGTCGCCGGCCCCCTGGCCGGCCGACGCGCCCCCTGCCACCATCCACGACGGCCGTCTGCTTGATGAGCAGGAGGCCTACCTGTCCGGTGTGCCTGCCGAGGTGCCCACCGCCGCCTTCATCGCCCACTTCCGCGCCGCCTACCCATGCGTCACGAGCATGGCCCGCATCCATCTGGACTGCGGCATGGCTTCTGACCGGTTCTCCCTGGTGATCCGCCGCTCCGACGACACCCTGCCTCGCGAGGTCGAGCTGTTGGTGGCGGGGCAGCCAGGTACTGCCGTGGTGTGGCGCCGCTCCCTGTTCCCCACCGAGCCCGCTCCGCCCGCCGGCCAGCCGCCTGCTGCCGCTGCTGCGGCTGCCGCTTGTGCCGCCGCCACTGGCGCCCCGCCGGCTGGCGCCGCGCCTGCCGGCCGGCCGCCTGCTCCCGCTGCTGCGGCTGCCGCTGGTGCCGCCGCCGCTGGCGCCCCGCCTGCTGGCGCCTCCGCCGCTGGCACCTCGCCTGCTGGCGCTGGTGCGGCTGCCGCCGGTGCCGCCGCCGCTGGCGCCCCGCCTGCCGGCGCCGTGTCTGCTGCCGGCTCCCCCACGGGTGTTGTGCCTGCTGGCGGGGCGGAGCCGCCTGCTCCCTTTGCCGGCCTGCCGCCGGCCCGTCCCCCCGCGATTGACCCCACGCCTGCCCCGCCTGCCTCTCCCGCTGCCCTCCGGGCGTGGTGGGACACCTTCCCGGGCCGCCTGGCTGCGCTGCCCACCGCCTCGCTCACCGGCGCGGAGCTGCTGGTGGCTGTGGCTGGCGTTGAGCGTGCTGGCAGGGCGCCTGTCGCTTGCGCCGCCTCCCCTGTGCCCGCCCTCCATCCACTTGCAGGCATTGTCGCCCTGGGGCAGGCGCGCGCCATTGTGGTGCACACCGGCGCGCGGCTGGACGCCACCATCGCTGCGCATCAGGCACTCGCCCCCGCCGTGCACCCCACCAGCTCTGGCGGGGGCCATGGCCTGGGCTCCCGGGGGCGCTCGGCCTGCTTCCCGCCCCCCGACCGCGCCCGCTCCGCCTCCCCCATTGCGCGCTCCCGCCTGCTGGCGCGCTCGCATGGTGTGCTGCGTGAGGGCGCTGTGCACATGCGCGGGGGCCTTGAGGTGTGGGCGGAGCGCCGCCTGCGCTTCCCCCCTCGCGCCATGTCGCCCTTTGATGACTACCCTACCCCTGCTCCCACCCAGTCCGGCTCCGGCGACTCCTCTGGTGCGGCCGGCGACGGTGTGCCCCTGCCTGCTGCTGGGCTGGTGGTGGCCGACCCCGCTGCTGCTGCGGCCCCTGTGGCAGTTGTGGCCCCCGCCGCTGTGGCGTCCGCGGTGGCTGCTGCGGCCGTTGTGGCTGCCGGGTCCCGGGCTCCCTCCCCTTCCCCCCTGGCGCCTGCTGCCGCTGCCGCCGCCTCCGCTGGCGGCCCTCTGGCGCGGCGCCCCCTCCTGGCGGGTGGCAAGCGGGGCGCTGTGTCCGACATCCGCCGCTCTGAGCGCCTGCGGCGCGTCAGTGTTGATGCCCCTGATGGGGTCATGACTGATGCCGCCTCCTGCTAGGCCTGCCGGGCCGGCGCTGCTCATCGGCAGCGTCAACGTCCGCGGGCTGACGGTGCCTGGGCGCCTGCAGGCGGCTGCCGCCCGCTGGCGTGCAGCCCGCTATGACGTCGTCTTCCTCCAGGAGCATCACCTCACCTCCCGCCTGCACAACCGTGCCACCATCCAGGCGCTGGCCGACCTCGGCTGGAAGGCTTTCATCT